TGCTTGGTTTACCCAATCAGGATATGGCTTTATGTAAGTCGGCCTAATGACAGAACGTACCCCAAAAGCCATTTGATCCTGTACTATTTCCATAATTGGATTTCTCAACATGACGTTGGGGTCATATGGAATTCCTACAGGTTGGTTGATCGGTTGATTTGCCTGATGCCTGATGTTTGGTCCTTGGTTGGCAACAAAGTTGCCATGATTTGGACCATTGTTACCATTAACCTGAATATTTATTCCATCATTAACACGTAGGGTGTTCTGTCCATTATTTAGGACATTGTCTCTTACATTTAGGTTACCCCCCAAGTTAGATATACCATTACCACTATTCCGATTTGGCATTACACCATCCTCCTGGTTTGAAGTAGACGGACCAAAAGGTGGTTCTATCCCTTGATTTGGACTTAGGGCTGAGGAATTATGTCCTACAATTGTCCTAGCTTGAAAGTGACTTGCAATAGGCACAACTGGCTGACAAATTTGGCCTACTAACTTATTCATTATTTCATTTAATATATTAAGTTGTTTGGCCATGTTGTCATAATGTGCATTCCCATTCTGGGTAAATCTTTCCATATTATGAACATTTCGTAGATTTACCTGTTCAACGACATCCTGTGTGAGTTCTCCAAGCAATGCACGCATGGTTCGAGGACTCAATTTTGTCATTGGTTTGTAACAACTGTGACTGTTCTAACTCTGTCCCTCTGTTCGTGGAGAGTTTTGTTGCTCCTCATATCGCTCGATCACAGACTAACTCCTCCCTGACTTGCTGCTTCCTTATCAGATTTGTGAGACATATTGTTTCACTTTTTGTATACTCAACACCAAGGTCCCACTGAGCGTGCCAAATTGTTTCGCGCGAGTAGTCGCTAATAATTAAAAAAGGGGTCAGACGATTGTGTAAGGAACAGATCTCTTGAGACAAAGTCCCAAAAAGGGGTGTTTTATTGGCGATGATTTACAATTAGAAATAAACAGAATGCCTCCAAGGAACGCAAATACACGAGTATTAAAAGAAGTATTTAAATTTAAGCTAAGAAATTAAAATTACATATTCTCTGTTTGAGAGTGTTTGATTTGAGGTCCTTTATTTTATGTCTTCTCTTCCTTTTTATATTCCCTTGATGACTTCCTCGTGACAAACCGCTTGGAAACTGCTTGATTGTTTTATAACTATCCATTTTTTTTTATGGTGGCTAATTTTTCGTGGAATTGCCGTCTCTAACTGCTGTCATTACTCTTTGTCGTTCAACCGCCTTCAACTGGGTTCTTTAGATCGTGGAATGTGATAAGATTACTCAATAACTGCTTTAATAACTGCTATTCTGGACAATCATAATATTTTATGTTTGCTAAGATCTTGGGCGATTCGAAAGCTTGGGTGAGAACGGGGTCATCGCTCTGGGCGACCGTAAGGCACTCCATTCGCTTAGATTATGGGCGTCTTACAAGATTGGGCAATGATGTCACTGTGTTCGTGGGCTTCCACTGCATTTATCAATAATTCTGTTTGGACCTTTATCCTGTACTCCCCAATTGGATTTCACTCTTTGAGCTATTTGATTTGGACTGCACTTTTAGTGTGTCAACAGTTCCAGAAATACAGGATCCACAGTTCTGATTTTTCAACTAAAATAATACAAATAGAACACTGAAAAAGCCTGTGGGATACATCAATTATGAAGACAAGCTGGAGCTCAAGCGCCATGATCTTCACTATAATCCAATGACAATGCTTTGCCACATGGTCGAGTTGTGAGCCTTTTACAGTTCACCGTCATTAAAATGAAAGTAAATTTATTTTGCAAAATTCAAGACTCAAATTTTAGAAATTAAATTCCTGTAAGACTATTATCCTATTATTTATTAAGGGAGTAATCAATTCATGCAGCCAAGTTTGAATATTATTATGTCTGTTTCTTTAAGTCCAAGAAAGTAAATAGAGTAGAGAAAAGTCTCAGTTTTCCATCTTTGACCTAGCCAAGAATAATACTTCACCAAAAGACGAAGAATGATACGGCATCTATATATAGTCCTAGTAGGCAATTTGGCATTACCATTAGAGGGCCAATAAAGAAACTGCTAAAATGAGCGATGAGGGATTCTTGATGAATCTACCTTCACATATTATTGTCGAAATCCTCTCAAGTCTTCCAGCCATAACTGTCATAAACTGCAAGCTTGTTTGCAAGAAATGGCTCAGCCTAATCTCAACTCCTGAGTTTGCTAAGTTGCATCTTTTCAAATCAAATCCTGTCCTCGGTGTCTTCCAACATAAGCCAGGAGGCGGCGAAGTCTGCAGGCTATTCGAATTTGACCATCATGGTATTCATTCTGATCCAGTGTTCAAATTTGAGGTGTCAGTATCACTTTGCATCAGCCATGGTGCAACGGGTTGTGTAGGTTCCATCAATGGCTTGGTTTGTTTACGCAATTTTGGTCATGAATACGATGCTCTATACATATGCAATCCCATTACACGGGAGTATGTTAACCTTCCATTTCTCGACAGAGCCTTTGAAAATCCCAGTCAAGTCACATACGGGTTTGGATTGAGCACGATAAGTGGAAAATACAAGGTTGTAAGAATTTTCCACGAGGGAGCCAATGATCCAACAACAGGTGCATGGTTAAGTATTTCAAGGTCTGAGTGCCATGTTCACACCCTTGGTACAAACTCATGGAGAGACATTAGGGACGTTCCATTCGGGTATAGTTGTCGTTCTGTTGGTCCATTTTTCAATGGAAATCTTCATTGGGTGATACAAGATTTAGAGGGCTCTGAGCTGATTTCTTGTTTTGATGTCCAAAAAGAGTCATTTCACCCATTCCCCCCTCCTTTTCCTGGTGAACGACATAAAAGAAGTCTTCATAGCCTCGGAGTTGTCGCAGGTTGTCTATGCCTATGTGACAATACTTCAGATTCTGAAATTGTCTTGTGGGTTATGAAGGAATATGGAGTGAAGAAATCATGGATCAGAGAATTTATCATCAGCAAAGTGCCAGATTTTGCAGGGCCAGCTTACGAAATGGTTTATGCTTTAAAATTTTTTGAAAATGGTGATATATTGCTCACATTGGAGGACCACTGCTTATTTTTCTACAGGAATCAGAGTAAAACTCTTCAAAAAGTTGAAGCTGGTCCTAATTATACCATTCAGACAATGCTTTATGTACCAAGTTTTGTTTCAGTCAAGGATTTTGTACTAACAGAGAATGTAAGGGTATTCTGAGTTCTTACATTTGGTCCTATGTCTTATTAGAAAGTCTAATCGGAAAGGGGAATGTTTGGTCTTGGAACCGCTTTATTTTCAAGGATTTTTTGTCGTATTTTGGCTGATCATTGTATCTTTGATCGAGAACAAGAACAAGTGTTGTGTTGCTTTTATTGGCTTATATAGCATGTGGAGTAGATTATATCATTTCGTATTTTCATTATACCAATTGTAGAAGTCAATTTCAGTCTACTCTTCAAATGCATGGAAATCTATTTCGTGATTTCACTTCTGCAATGGATGTAAACAAGACGCATTTTTATTGTAACAACGGGTTACCTGCGTAGGCACTTCAGCTCTCATATCTAATTCTTTGGACATGATAAACATATAACATGTACTCGCATGAAATGTTAATTAAATATCGAGTGAATAGTCATATTTTTCTTCCGTTCTAGTCTCCCCCGTAATAAGAAATAATAACTAAGTTGAAATATCATTTTTCACTATCTTTCCCTGTCTCTATAAATCTGACATTTTTCATGATTCCTTTATGTCTTCCTCTATGGCAAAGCCCTCAAAGGACTTGTCACAGTAGTAGACTAGTATGAGATGCGTAATCAAACCCTTTATCACTCAAGATCTTACTCGAGAATCCAACCCAAGTACCATTTGCAACCTTTGAGAATCCCCTGCATGATAGGCACATGCTCCGCATCATAAAAAACATACAATTTGCCCGTCGAAGACAAAAATGCACCATTTCTCTACACCCATGCTCACTTGTATTTGTCATCGTGATTAATTAAATTCATCAACAAATCCCTGAAATAATTCTTGAATTTAAAAAAAAAAAACAAAAGTTTCTCAAGAGATTACTGTTTTGCATTGTATGCCATTGTAAGTCTCTTGAAATCTATTTCTCAAGCCTCGTCCCGAAACAAACCAGGATTTTTATTTTGGATCACATTAGATTTATCTAATTTTTTTATCTAATGTTTTACATACACTCACAATAGGAGTGTGGGGACCACATGTTGGGATTATTTTATTGACGCGGGATCCACGTGCTTGTGAGAGTAGGTAAACTATTTTGTAAACTAAATTATGTACACTTAAAATTATCTTTTTATATTTTACCTTCAAGAAATCCCTCCCTCCCAGGTAGAGGTAGCGCCTTTATTCTTGAAACCTATTACTATTGTGTTTTAAGCGGCAGCTTTGGCACAAGATACCGGAGAATAAATATATTCTTCTTCATTAGTTTATACTGTCAAGTCTCAATTACTCAACAAGACTCTATTGTCTACTAAACAAATGGACGTGGGGCGGCACATTGATGGTCCTCAAAGTTGGTGTTCAACCTTTTTTTGACAAATGAAGGTTCTAATAACTACAACTAGCAATCCAGATGAGATTTGAACACGCCATTCCAAAAGTACAATAACTTAGTCTATGCTTTTTAAAAACTCATTTTTTTAAGAACGCATTTCACACTCTCCCAATAAAATAANTTCCAAAAGTACAATAACTTAGTCTATGCTTTTTAAAAACTCATTTTTTTAAGAACGCATTTCACACTCTCCCAATAAAATAATTTCACACATAAATTCAATACTTCTACTTACTTTTAGCTGCACGTTCTCCAAAAAGTTACCGTTACAAAATCTATTCCTCCGAAAATGGGCTCAAACAAACCATAAATATTTCTACGAATGGATTACTGATATACCGAACATGTCCATAAAAGGATGGAAAAGTAATAAGAACAACTAATCAAAACAAGCCCAACATGTCATATAGAAATCCATAAAGACAATGATAACAGACCAACAAAGACACCCGAGGAAAAAACAGCAGGCAGCAAATCCCACCGGATATTTCTTCCCTACTTATTCAAGACTAAACATCAAGAAAGTCTGAAAACACACACACGCGTCTGGAATACTGCCAGTAGAAATGACTCAAAACCTGGACCTAATCGAAAAGTAGCATTATTGACCACAAACCAAGCTTAAAATAGTTCTTAGAGTAGTGAAAGAAACAAAGAATCCTTGCAATCATCCGTGTGGATTGGCTCACTCATCTTCGGTTTCAGACTCAGCACTCTGCAGCCACTCCACGAATGGCTTGACATTCTTCCAGATAGGGGAGGCCTTATTGTTCCCAGTTGAACCCTTCTGATACCACTTGTCAATAAACTCTTCTTCCAACATATCATTATCGTACAACTCTTTCAGAACCAGCCCCACCTCCTTCACTGCCTCAGGGCTTGCTTTTCCACAGAAAGACTCGATAGCCTGAAGTAGAATCAGCTGTGAGCCCTCTTCCTGAGCTGCAGCTGCAAGGTACTTCTTTTTCTTAACAACCTCTTTAGAGAATCCTTTTCCCACCCCATTAAACAAGGCTTCAAATAAGGCATCAACAACCTCTTGATCAGTACCAGAGAGAGAACCCAAGAACACCTTAAGCTTGGATGCAGATGAACCTTTATCCAGAAATTCCTTGATTTCCTCGACAAGTTCAGCATGACCATTACTAGATTTAACAGTGTTCCCATTGGCCTTGGGTTTTTCTTCGCGTGCTGGGGAGTTCTTACCTGATTTTGGCTTGTCTTCATTGGTTGAGATCATGACCATGCTAGCTGTGACAGAATTCAGCTGCTCTAGGATACTTTGTCGAGCTGCCTCAGCAGATGTGTCAGTCTGCCACTGGACATCATCATCAGAGTCCTCAGCAGCTCCCCCTTCATTCTCATCCGCCTGGCTACCAGTCGGAGAATGCTGCTCATCAGAATTATTGGCTTTCTTCTTGCTAGATGCTTTGGTGGAATCCTTTGCACCTCCAGAAACGCCTTTCTTCTTCGTAGCATCTTTCTTAAGTTTCTTCTGCTCCTCATCAACAGCTTCTCCTTCCTTCAGCCGCTCTTTCTCAGCCCTCCTCATCGCCTTTTTGTCCTTCGATCCTTTCTTTGCCTCGGGAGGGTTCTTAAGAATGAATGTCGTGAGCTTGTCCCTCATGTCAACCTCTGAAATGAAACCACAGGCAGCACATTTTAGATTGATCATCTGTGATTTTGAGATGATGATTTCAGTTTCAGGATTCCCACAGCCATAACACTGGACATACTTCTTGATGAAGTTCTCAAGAAGTGCAGCAAGTTTTGAAGTGTCATGGGCTCCATTCACATGGGAAGTTCCAGTTTTCTCATCAAACTTGGATTGAGCTCCGAGCTCGTTGCCAAAATACTTTGTTGTGTAAGAAGCAGGCCTTCCCAGGGCCTTTGCAATGTCAACCATGTTGACCAAGTTGGTCTTGATGCCATTTCCACGACCTTCGATTTTTGTTATCATTTTAGGCATCTTATACCTGTAAAAGGCATCATCCTTGTTTCCAGCACCAATATTTTGCAAAGCCATTTTGTCCTTAAAAAGGGAACTGATCTATATCAAATTTATCAAAATGGAAGCAGCTCGTCTTCTTCAACAAGGATTTCTTCAGTATGATGAATGTTACTACCAGAAGAAAAAGGACGCATAAATTGGCAACCCTGAAAGTGTATGTTGTATCCTTGGAGCTCAAGATGCATGCAGCCAAGTCTGTGAGCAGGATGACTATACTTATATTTTGATGGAGGACAGTACTCTCCAAGCAACCCAATTACCAATAAAAACTGAGAGGCCTGTTCAGACATAAAAGAATCTTCGAACTTAATGCACTCCACTTTGATTGCTGCAAATGCCGCAACTTTAGCAGCCAAATACCTGCAATCATACATTTGAGTTATTAGAAAAAAGTGGAAGAATAAATAGAATATAAACATGAGACTTACCATGTATCACGGACATGTAAGCAACTCGTCAATGGTTTTTATCATTACAAGAAAATAAGTCCACAGTTTTTCATCTCAGTATAAATTAGAACCAATTATACATGTCATTTTGACAATTAAAAAAACTGCCAAAAACTCCCCAAGCACACAAAATCAGAATCATGTTCATATCTTTTCTTTTTCACAAAAATACTTGTTCACAAAAAATAATCAAAACAACTTATATCGTCTCATCAAAAGAGGCCAGACAAGCAGGCAATTCAATATTAGATTCATTAAGAATTTGTCACACAGCCTCATATTTCAAGTTATGCAAGTCTCAAAACAAAATTTTGAAGCAAAATCATGTGGTTACCAACTCACCATGACATCAATCAAATATCATAGTTGTTTATCATGGAGCTTCAATTGCACTTTGACCTTAACATGCTAAGACGATGGACCATCACAGAGACAGACATAGAGTGGCCTCATATATAAATCTACACATTAAAAATAAGCATCCCCAAAATTAAACCATCAGCAGTAAATTTTTCACCACCTACAAAATAAATATCGCATAAAGTATTTCCATCTTCAAATTCTTGACCATCCTATAAATGTACACAGTAAAAATAAGCATCCCCAAAATCAAACCATCAGCAGCAAATTTTTCACCACCTACAAAATTAAAATCGCATATAGTATTTCCATCTTCAAATTCTTGAACATCCTAGAAAGAAATAGTTACAGGAGAACCTTCCAAGTATTCTTTATACACGTCTTCCAGATATTAAAATTAGAATGGCTAAATCACTAACTGCAAAAAAAGAAAAAAACGAAAATCTGATTTTCTAAGTTTAATAATTTAGTTTCTTAATATTAATTTCAAGGAGGATCAGAAATTAAACATTTATGAAGTTGAACCATCATCTCAATATTTAATATGTAAATACTAATGACTCATTTCAAACGAGCTCCAAACCAAATTAATTCAAACCCCCTAGATCCAATCACCAACTCAAGTTTCTAATCACTATCATCCCACAGTAACATAAATCAGGATTCAATCTAATTTTCAAGACTCAATCACGTAGTCAAATATAAACAAATTCATCATAAATAATTTCTTCTCAAGGTTACCAATCAAATCCCAAATTCACACAACAAAATCATCCAATCCCCATACTCAAATTTCTAATCTAAACCATCGATCTCAATTTTAAGACTCAATCCACGCAGTCAAACATGAAGTTAATCATACATATTCACATCCCACAAAACCCATCAAATTCCAAACCTCAAATCACGTAACAAAACCAAAAAATCATATCAACAGAATAATAAAAAAATAATAACCAGGACTTGGAAGAATTACCTCAGATTGATAAGAGTTGAAGATTATAAAATATAAGGAATAAAAGAGAGAGAAGAAAGTTAAGGCTATGCGCCGAGCTGTCGTCGAAGAATACGTGAATGCGCAAGGGGGCGGTTTGAGTATATATAGAGATACAGGAAACCCTAAGGCGTGAAGAATTAGGGTAAACACGATATCCACGTAATTTCTTTTAAAATCGCAATAAAATTAAAAAATAATAAATAAACAAACACACCGCCTTTCTTTTCTTTTTTTCTTCTCTCTCATTTAATATCTTCTTTTACATATATATAGATATATTTATTTATTTATTTATTTTCAAAAAATGTAATCCTTTTTGAAGAGTAATTTTAAGGACAATAAATGCATTCATAATATTAATCAATCTTATCAAACAATATATATTAATATATCGTGATTGCTGGTGTAATAGCATAATATTTGACGAAGAAAGAAATTAAAATTTGATTTATTTTATTATTTGGTCCAATTATACGTTTCTTGTCTATTTAAATTTGTTGCCACCTATTGAGTGTCATTTTCATATTTTGAATATTAAGAGGTCAAATTTATCTATTTGATTTGATATTTTGTATAACTTAATTGATTGAAATTTGTACAAGTTTTAGGTTTTCTCAAAATGTTTTTAATGACTATTTTACAATCTATTAGCCGAAAATAAGAATAAAAACAAGTAATAAAAAAAGTAAATGTTAGGGAAACAAATATGTTTGAAATATTTAAAATTAATAATATTTGGCTTGTTGAGCTCATTTAAGATTATTTAATATCATTTAACATAATATATAACCATATTTGAAAAAGCCCCCATCTTTATAAATTTTCATTTTACAAACTTAATCAATTTTCTTTCCAGTAATTATTAAAATTTATTTTAAAAAGTTTAATTTATATCTTCCATTACTATATAAAGTGATAAAAATAATCAATAGTACTAACTGAAAAATGTATAGGTAAACAAAAAAAAAAATTAATTTAATTTACTGATAAAATTTACATAATTAGGTAAAATAATTAAATTTAAGTTAAAAAAAACTGCTGTAATTAACTAGCTAGTAAAGATTTCAATGCCTTTTCAATTATTAAAGTTATAAATAGCGTAAATAATTATTAAACTGACAAATCTTTTGCCTTTAATGAAGTAATTGAAATATAACATAACGAATGAAAAATTCCATCGAGGATATAATTTATGTCATTATAATCGAATGAGAGATATATTTGAATTTTACTGTCGATAAACTTATAAACAATTAAGAATATATGAAAAATAAAATTTCATCCAAATTTCATCCATAATATCTACAAATTCTGCCAACAATTGAAACATCATCGACGATATTCATCATAAATGGTTGTTGATTGCGTGCATCATCTATTACTGATGATATTCAAATAATGACATATTGTATTCATTTTGTAATTAATTGTTTTATTAAATTTTACAATTGTTCTCGATAAAAACTTCAACAAATTTGCCTCCTGCACTCAATTTGCTTCTAGATTAAAAGAAAAAAAAATCACGAAATTTTTTTTTTTAATTTATTTAAGTCTCTGTTTGATAATCATTATTTCAAAATTCTTTATTTTATATACCCATTTTCAATCATACATTCACGTGATATTCTGTACGTAAATTTTAAACTTTTTCATATTTTTTAATTACACATTTTCCAGATATTCACTATTCAAAGAGTAGTGCTATTTATCCCCACTAGATTTATAACTCCAATCTATATGACATTAAATGATAAGTGAAAATAAATGAGTCATTTAATTTTACCTTTTTATTTATAGTTTATCACTTTATCACCTAAAAAAACTTTAATAGCATACCCCTATTAAGAACTTTGTTTTTCTCAAACAATGGCTATCAAATCGGGGAATATTCTGAACGTAAATTTATTTTTTTTCCCCCATTTTTCAATCAAACATTTTGAAAATAATAATATTCAAAACATCGTTTTTCAACAATGATGGCCATTAAAGAGAGGCTACGAAGTGTGGACGTCAAAGTAGTGGCCAAGAATATTATGACATGTACCTAAATTTGCTAAACATGCGAATATAATCCTTTGACGATTCCCAAAACCAAGTCATCTTCCTTTTTGACTCCCACCCAAAAAGGGTGGAAAAAAATACATATCCCAGCTCCATCATTGCCCCATTTCCCGTTTCTCTCTTTTTTTCCACTGTACAATACACATTGAAGGAAAAGGCAGGGAAATCATGAAGAGCACAAGCTATGGAAGAGTGTTTGCATTCCAATTTTCTCTATATGTTTCTATCTTCACCAACATGTATAGTTCATGAATTTTAACTTTCTTTGTTTGTCTTATTTTGTAAATTCTTAATTAGTTGAATAGATGATTCTATGGGGGTGTTTGTGCCCATTATTTGTGAATAATGTATTAAGGAATAGTAATTGATGTTGAAATGTGCGGTTAAAAAAAAGTTTTTTATTTATATGTAATATTATTTTAATGAATAATGTGCGGTTGAAAATAAGTATTGTAGAAAAAATAATGTGGTAGAACGGTAAGCAAACAAAGCCTATGTTTGATCTAGATTTTACAAATTGTGGGCTTTATTGGAATCGAACAATCAGCTCATAGCTCAGCATAGACGTCAACAAGAGCTGCAAATCGTTTCCAAGGATTGCAACACCAAGAAGAAGGTCTATTTTTTTTGAGTAATAAAGCTCTAAATTTGAAGTAAGTTTTACAGATTTAGTGTTTTAAATGTGCATTTATATGTTAAAGCTTCACTAAAACCGTTAAAAGATTCAAATTTTGAAAGTTCATTTTGTTTCTGGGCGTGAATAGAAAGTAGGAGGTTAAGATAAGAATGTAATGAATTAGGTGAAGCAATTCAGTGAGTTCGTAATTCTGTAATTACATTATATATTGTAAATTTTATCTCTTTTAGTTTAATTTTGCATTTTAAGCATAAAATGTCATGAATTTTATTGGGATGTGCACCTTGGATACAAGTTATAACAATGGAGCTTCAAGAAAAAGTGCATTTATGGTAATTGGAATCAATCGTACGAATAGGCATGATTCCATTAGCAAAGATATCAATCATGTTCGTTGACTTGGGCTGCTCATGGTTTAGCGCATAAAAAGCCTGATCTGGCGTCCGTCGCGTTATGAGAATATTTCATTTTTCTCAGAAAAAGAAAAGAAAAGAAAAATCACTTCAATCTTAAAACATTAACCATCCTTTGGATTTATATCTTTTTCAGATTTAAAAAGAAGAAGGAACTTATGGTATTACATCTACTAACACTACTATTGGACAGACAATTTTCAAGTGGAACCATTATACATATTTGGTTCTCAACTCGAAAAGAAAATGAAGGATACAAAATACCTTAAAGTTAAGGGTCCTACCACTGGCTTGCATTAAATCTTTAAATATGGAAAACTCACATTTTATGACAGCAAATCAATAGCTCATGTATTTCTAAGTATCAAATTTGCATTAGAATTCTTAAGCATCTCCCCAGTAGCATGAGAGATCATACGTTTAGCCCTTCGTCGATTCTGGCCATTCTTGAAATTCTATCTAGCTCATGGCTCCCGATAAATCTTCGACAGAAGACTTTATTACTTTCTTTTATGAGGCGCCTTTTTTTATCTTTAAAATAGCCTGCGAAACTACTCCTACTGAAGGGCGTTTTGTGCAAGCACTGGTGAGCAATTCGAGCTAAAGGTCCTCACTTCTTTCGAGTTGCATGTACCAACAAGCCTTGCGTCAAGTATTTCTTCCACAACATCTGGACTCAAAGTTGCCTTGAAAAGTTCAATTGGAAAATGAAGATATCAGAATAATAAAACCCGTGGCTGCAGGACAGAGAAAATGAGATAATATTCCATTAAATTTCATAGAGTTTGGGTAAATCCCCTGATGAGTTCAAAAAGGATAACACTACTATGTTATAGGATAACAAGATGGTTAGAAATCTTTTATTTTTTGAACCTAATCGCTCTTTTGATTTCGGAAAAAAACTTTCTTTATCAATATACTGAAGCTGTAGATATCATTCTTTGTTGTGAACTTGTTTGTAGGTATATACACAGGATCTATGTACCCATAGTCAGGAGCCTCTTCCTTCAGCAACCTAGTTACACAGGAAGCATGAAGAATAATCAACATTGGGAACAAAAGCAAACCTAAATCACCAAGAAAAAGAAAAAAGAATATGCTCGAGTTATAGAAGAAACTGTTGGAAAAAATAAATGTGCATCAATTATATTCAAATAACATAACTTTTATGTACACAAAATCGGACAGAATCTTGACTTACCAAAATTGAATTCATAACGCAGAAAAGAGAAATGCATGAATATGAATTTGGTCAAGGCAAGACTTCAACTTTCTCCTTAAAATGAT